CCCCAAAACCCCAAAACCCCAAAACCCCAAAACCCCAAAACCCCTTGCCCTATAAATAGCGAAATAAAGTGGGAAATTATAACTTTATTTTATATTAAAACAAAATCAAATCTTCATCATGAGAGAGGTTATTTCAATTCACGTTGGTCAAGCTGGTATCCAAGTCGGTAACGCATGCTGGGAGCTCTTCTGCCTTGAGCACGGTATTCAACCTGACGGTCAAATGCCATCAGACAAAACCATTGGTGGTGGTGATGATGCCTTCAACACTTTCTTCTCCGAGACTGGAGCTGGAAAGCACGTTCCAAGATGCGTCTTCCTCGATTTAGAGCCAACCGTCATTGACGAAGTCAGAACCGGTACCTACAGACAACTCTTCCATCCAGAGCAACTCATCTCAGGAAAGGAGGATGCTGCCAACAACTTCGCCAGAGGTCACTACACCATTGGTAAAGAAATCGTCGATCTCTGCCTCGACAGAATCAGAAAGCTCGCTGATCAATGCACTGGTCTCCAAGGTTTCCTCGTCTTCAACTCAGTCGGTGGTGGTACTGGATCAGGTCTTGGTTCACTCCTCCTCGAGAGACTCTCAGTCGACTATGGTAAGAAATCAAAGCTCGGTTTCACCATCTACCCATCACCATAAGTCTCAACTGCCGTCGTTGAGCCATACAACTCAGTCCTCTCAACTCACTCACTCCTTGAACACACTGATGTTGCAGTCATGCTCGACAACGAAGCCGTCTACGATATCTGCAGAAGAAACCTCGACATTGAGAGACCAACCTACACCAACCTCAACAGACTCATCGCTCAAGTTATCTCATCATTGACCGCCTCACTCAGATTCGATGGTGCCCTTAACGTCGATGTTACTGAGTTCCAAACCAACTTGGTCCCATATCCAAGAATCCATTTCATGTTGTCATCATACGCCCCAGTCATCTCAGCTGAGAAAGCATACCACGAGCAACTCTCAGTCGCTGAGATCACCAACTCAGCCTTCGAGCCAGCCTCCATGATGGCCAAGTGCGACCCAAGACACGGTAAATATATGGCTTGCTGCCTTATGTACAGAGGTGATGTCGTCCCCAAGGATGTCAACGCTGCCGTCGCCACCATCAAGACCAAGAGAACCATTCAATTCGTCGACTGGTGCCCAACTGGCTTCAAGTGTGGTATCAACTATCAACCACCCACCGTCGTTCCAGGTGGTGATCTCGCCAAGGTTATGAGAGCCGTCTGCATGATCTCCAACTCAACTGCTATTGCTGAGGTCTTCTCAAGAATCGATCACAAATTCGATCTTATGTACGCCAAGAGAGCCTTCGTCCACTGGTACGTCGGAGAAGGTATGGAAGAAGGAGAATTCTCTGAGGCCAGAGAAGATCTTGCTGCCCTCGAAAAGGATTACGAAGAGGTCGGTATTGAGACCGCCGAAGGTGAGGGAGAAGAAGAAGGTATGGAATGAGCATACGTTCGCCCACACAGGCTTAAACCAAACTAGAACCAACGCTAAGTTTAATTCTGTAACAAACTAAAACAAAAAATTTCTTTTATTAAAATCTATGTCTTTATACAAACAAGCCTATTTAAAAGCCTATTAGATAGAATTGTCTTTTAATATTTTTTGAGTCCATGATATTTTTTTCTCTGAAATGGATTTCCTGGATTTTCTCAATTCCCCATTATTAAATCGATTCTATCTCAAGGGGTTTTGGGGTTTTGGGGTTTTGGGGTTTTGGGGTTTTGGGGTTTTG